CTCAGCCCTCACTCCTGAGGAGTCTTTGAGGGATCCAAAGCCCAAATTGCCAAATCTTCTGGGGCTTGCCGCGTGCCCTCTGGTCTTTGCCGCGGCCTGTCGCCAGACTTTTTCGGGCCCGAGAGGGCCCTAAGACGGGCCAGAAGGGCTCCCGGAGGCCACCAAGACGGTCCAAGAGGGCCCCCAGATGGCCCAAGAGACCGCCCAGACGCCCCAAGAGGCCTCCCAGGTGCTCGTCCATTGGTTTTTGAAGGATTTGGGCCTTCTCGCCGTTTCGGCTTTCCGACACTCCAAAACGGCCCAATAGGCAATAGCCCCCCAAGCCCCCAAGACCGCCCCAAAACAGCCCAAGAGGGCCCCAATACGGCCATAGAGGGCCCCAAGACGGCCCAAGAGGCGCCCAAAACGGCACAAGAGGGCCCCAAGATGGCCCCAAGCGGGGCCCCAGAAGGGAACCCGAACCGAAAATTTGAGCCGTTCGCTCCAAGGCCCCCAGGAAGCCCCAAGAGGCCCCCAAGAGGCCCTAAGGAGCCCCAAGAGGCCCCCAAGAAGCCCCCCCGAGGCCACCAAGAAGCCCCAGAGAGGCCCCAAGAGGCCCCCAAACTACCCCCAAGAGGCCCCTCCCAGAGCTCCCCGAGAGGCCAACCACGAGATCCCCACCAACATCCATGAGGCCTCTGACCCACCACCGAGGCTTTGTGGCGGGATGCGCCGAAAACCATTATATACAAATCGAATCCGAGGCCTCCAAGGTGGCCCCAAAGAGTGGTTCAATCGCTGAAGAGATCTGCCCAAAAAGCCTTCACGAGAGCCTTAAATACCTTCGGAGAAACCGTACTCGTTGAGCGATCCTAGGTTTTGTTATTATTGCAAGCCCGACAATTAGGGAACTGAAATCTGCACGCCGCAAGGCTGGCTCCAAGATGATGAAGGAAAACTCCAAGAACCCACAAGAGGCCTTCAGGATGGGTGAAGGAAATTACAACAGAACCCAGGATGGCTCCACGATTGCTTCAAGCTGCCTCAATCTGGCGCCGTTGATACCCAATAACGACCAATATGGCCAACGATAAGTCACGCTTGCACACAAATGGCCTCCAAGTTGGCCCCGACAGGCACCAGTATTCTCCAATCTGGCTCCAAGATGATTCACTCTGGGGCCTCCCAAGAACGCTTTTCTTTATTTTCCGCTATAATGGGTTGTATGGGGGGGGCGGGGGGAATATACTGTAACGCTTCCCCCCCGCGCCGTGTGGTTCCGGCATGTTATTTTCCGGGATAGCGGCCTTCATCGGCCCTGCCCTCCCCCCCTCCCAGATGACGTCACGTTCCGCGCAAGCGGCGTCCAGGAATGCCTGAGGATGACCAAGGCCAAGTAGGAGCAGCATGTAAGTGGCGATCTGTCCCTCAACGCAAATGACACCACAATACTCGCGTGCACCACAGCGCGCGTGTACACCACAGTGCTTGCGTACACCGCATCAGCCGTGTGCAACGCAGCGCCTGTGTACACCACAGTGCTTGCGTGCACCACAGCGCCTGTGTACACCACAATGCTTGCGTGCACCGCAGCGCCTGTGCACACCACGACGCCCGTCTACAGCACAGCCTCCGCGTGCAACGCAGCGCTGGTGTACACCACAGCGCCTGCGTGCACAGGACATGTAGAAGGAGCATGTAAGTGAGGATCTGCTGCGGACAGCTAAACACCACGCCAGGGAAGTGTTGATAATAGAATGGGACGTTATTCCCTCATCTCTTCTCCTCCTCCTCCACCTCCACCTCCACCTCCACCTCCTCCTCCTCCTCCTTCCCCTCTTCCTCCTCCTCCTCCTCCTCCTCCTTCCTCACCCTTCCCCCCTGTTGTGCCGGTCGGCGCTACAGCGCACGTGCGCATCCCAGCGCGCACCGCAGAATGGTTTAGTGAATCAATCCAATTGGTTCTCGGATGGCCTACTCTGCTGGAGCATCCTGGACGCATATGGGAGGAGTTAGGATGATGAAGACTCGTAAATTCCAGCGGCGCTCCTTTTTCCAAAAGGATTCCTTTCCACATCCCATATAAATCATTTGTTTTCTGGATCATCCAGAGGCGCTCCAATCTGTCATAAGGATTCGTTCGAAAATGTCGTGTGCAACATGTGTGTTATGTTGCGCACGGTTGCTGTGGTGCACACAGACGCCGTGGTGTACACAGGCGCTGTAGTTCACGCAGGCATTGTGGTGTACACCGGTGCTGTGTTGCGCACGGCTGATGTGGTGTACGCAGGCGGTGTGATGTTCATAAGCACTGTGGTGCCCGCAGGCACTGTGGCACACACAGGCGCTGTGTTGCACGCGGCTGCTGTGGTGTCCATTGGCTGTGTGGTATACACCAGCGCTGTGGTGCACGCAGGCGCTATGGTGTACACGGGCGCTGAGGTGCGGATCGCGACCTACATGCTGCTGCTACCCGCCTCGGTCATCCCTATGGGTTCCCAGACGCCGCCGGCGCGAATGTGACGTTCTCGGCCCCGCCCCCACACCCCCAGATGACGGCCGTCATCGGCCCGGAAAAAACAGGCTCCAGCCACGTCCGCGCGCACAACGACGACGAGCGACGAGCGACGAGCGACGAGCGACGAGCGGCGACGACGACGACGACGACGACGACGACGACGACGGCGACGAATGCGGACCAGACCTCTATGCGGATTCCTATGCGAACGTCTATGCGGATCCCGATACGCACGGCGGCAATGCCCGCAGCGCACTGGGGGTGGGGGGTGCGTTACGTCATAGGGGAGGGAGGGGCCGGGGGCTATAACGCCCGTTATGCCCAAAGCAATAAAGAAACACGCTCCAGGTTTCTCCGAGCGGCCACCATAATGGCAACATGCGTTTGCCTTCTCGCCCATTCCGGCCGAAGTTCTGTTTTACATGCCGATGTGTGGTCCTGAGATTGTCGTAGACGGCCTGGCGACGGGCCCCAAGAGGAACCCAAAAGAACCCCGACCGACTCGCCCAGGAGCCCACTTCTACCGACGCAGTGAAGCAGAGGCAATCCGCACGCGCGCACTCGCGAGCCAGGCGATGGCGGCCACTCATTGTCCAGCGGCAAGAGGGCGGGGCCTGGGCGGAGCGGGGCTGCGGAGGGAGGAGGAGGCACGAAGGACTTCGACCGGAGTGGCCGGGCGGCCATCCTGCGCCGACGCGGCCTGGCAGCGGACGCGGGGCCGCATCGCGGCCATACCCCGGGGGGGCTGAGGCGCAGGCGGCAGCACGAGAACGAGGGCCAAGTCGCACCAGCACCAAGGGGCCCAGGGGCACAAAGATCAATGCACACAAATCAAAGGATTCCCCATAGTTTTCCATCTTTTTGGGGTTTTCGTCTTCCCTCCACTTTCACATATTTTCTGGGGAATCGACGATTACTTGTGTCTTCCCACATCCTCCCCCCCACTTCCCACATTTTCCCACATTTTCTGGGGAATCGACGATTACCTGTGTCTGTGTGTCTGTTCCCCCCCTGGCAAGCACTGGAGGAGGAGGAGCGGCGAGCGAGCCCCCGCCCAAGAGGGCCCACAGGCTGCCCAAGAGCACCTCCGAGGGTCCCCGAGGAGCTCCGGAGGCGTCAAGGAGGCCCCAAGGGGGGGGGGGGACGCTGACCTGATGGCCACAGGAGGAGGAGGAGGAGGAGGAGGAGGAGGAGGAGGAGGAGGAGGAGGAGGAGGAGGAGGAGGAGGAGAGGAGGAGGAGGAGGAGGAGGAGGAGGAGGGGGGGGGGACGCGAGGGGCCCAGCTTTTTTTGCTTGTCAGCGCACTTTTGGGAGAAGGAGGAGGACAGCAGAGGGGACGAAGCGGACAGAAGCGATGACCTCTCATGCTGCCAGCTCTGAATGCAGGCCCAGCCAGCTGACCTGATGGCCACAGGGAAGGCTCCCGAGAAGAAGCACACGACACGTCGTGCTCTCAGTGTGCCATGAGCGGTCGTCGTCGCCCGCGCGAGCTTCACGCGGCAGGAGAGAACACCGCGGCAGATTCCTGCCATGACGATGTGCGCCCTGGTTTCTGACACCGCGCGAACCGCCCCACCCTGAACGATCTTGGGTCCTGAAGGTCCTCGTAGGCTGTCGAGGGTATCTTTCGTGAGGGCTTCGCGCTGTGGATTTTTCTTTGGATCCAGAAGCCGCTTTGTGGGCTCGTGTAAGGCGTCCAACCTTGAATGCCCGTACAGGCGTCGCCGCCGCGTCGAGGCGGCGCGAACCTGCGCAGCCACCAGCCCCAAACGTGGCGAACGCCCGAGCAAATGGTGACAGTGACATTTGAGGTGGGCCAGCGAAGTGAACGGAGCGTTCAACTTGCAGTCAGAAAGATGGGCAGACTGGTAGGCAGATAGGCGCCGACAGGCTCAAGAACACAAACGCAGACGCTGACTCAGGCAAGGACAGACGCATAAACCTAAGAAGAGGGAGAGATGGATCTGACATCGCGCCTGCACGGTAGTGGAGTGTTGAAGTACCTGTCTGGTGGGTTTGTCCAGCTTTTCGAAGGCGATCCTCACTCACCGCACTCTTGGAATCGCTTCTGGTGGCACTTTTCGGTCACTTGACGGTTCCAAGAATTCCCACCACCGTTCCAAGACGGCTGCAATGTGTCCGAAGACCCATCGAAGAGGGCCCAATGATCCCCGAAAGGGTCCAATGACCCCAAGAGGCCACCAAAGGCCCGCAAGAGGCGTCCAATGAGGCTCCAGAGATGCCGTAGGAACGCACTTGCCCAGGCAGTAGTCACTAAAGGGCACTCGGAAGTCGCCGCTCACGATAGTCCCAAGGGACCCCAGAGAAGCCTCCATGGGACTCCAAATGTGCCTTCAAGAGGGACGAGGACGAGGGGGAGTGAGGCGCTCTGCTTCCAAAGCGGCTCAACGTGAGGAATGAGGAGGAGGAGGAGCAGAAGTGCGCCTGAAGGGGCGAGGGAGGAGCAGGACGAGATGGAGGAGGAGGAAAGAGGAGGACCACACTGAGGACAAGGAGGAGGTGTTCAAGACCGGTGTCGGTTCGGACAGGGCGCTGACCGGAGCGGGTCGTAAACTGAGCCTCCCCTCTGCGCTGGCACGCTGATGGGACTTGCCCGAGCCATCTGCATACACGGTGCACACAGCCAAGACGGACAGACAGGCACGCGAGTGTTCGCACGCACGGCCGGGCGGTCCGTCTCGCAGGCAGGCGAGCCGGCAGGCAGTCAGGCAGACAGGGCAGAAATTCGCACACCTTGTCGTATCCTGGCAGAGCAGCGCTTGAGCAGCCATGTTCACCATCTGGCCCCAGCTGTTCCTCTTCTGACCTGCCTGCTACGTCTGACCTGGCGCCATTTTACATGCCAGCGTAAAGGTCTAGCTGAACACCCTGGTAAGGAACCTAGCCGAAGCCACAACAACAGACCCGGCAGGAAGAACGCTCCTGTAAGGAAAACAAGTCCACACAAGTGGACAGTGAAGCGCTGCTTGAAGTCCCGATCGGGAGTTCTGGCTTGCAAGGGATGCAACAACCCAACACGGTGAAAACTGGCTCGCTTGCTGGAGCACGCGCATCGGACTCAGGCCATCACTTCGCGCGAGTTGCACACGTCTGCCAGCAGCCCAAGTTCTGCGAGACGCCTCGGGTAGCACTGGGACTTCTTCAGAGGGAGAGCTGACCAACAATACCACAGTGCGCGCAAATCCATACGCGACGTGGAAGCCCCCTTCCCCTAATGGAAAACGAGATTATTATCATGCGGTCCTTAGACAAGGTGTGTGAACACAACACGCGCTTATGGTTTATGCATGTGGCATGTGGATTAGCATTGGATCTAGGAGCAAGGCTTGTCGACAGGAATCGTGACCAGGAACACTAGTTGTTCATGTTCATCTGCGTCGGAACGTGGCTCGTTCATGAATGATCGACAGAAGCATGGCTTAGAACGAACACGCCGTCGACAAAGGGGTGTAAGCATCAGTCCTTCTTTGGAGCCCTGCATCCGAGCCTCTGCCACATGCTGTACAGTACGTGCAGCCGTGTGTGCCTCGCTCGCGAAAACCGGGGCTGCGTGGTACAACGGGGGCCTCGAGGGACGAAGAGAGCTCTCTGCCACTCCTCAGTCTGAAGGGGCCCTGGGACACACACACACACACACACACACACACACATAAATGCACACAAATGACAGGATTCCCCACAGTTTCCAATATTTTCTTGATTTTTGTCTTCCCCCCCACTTCCCATAGTTTCCCATATTTTCGTGGGAATCGACGATAAATGGTGTCTGTGTGTTTTTTCCCCTCCTGACAGTCGCCACGCTTCGCGCGGCCCCCGCCCACGAGCGTGCGAGCCTCAAGCAGCACGCGTTGGGCCCTGCTGATCGGGGATCTTCTGACCCCGGTCAATCCAGACCCGGGTCAGCTGGAAACCAAAAACTGCAATGCAGGAAAAACAAACTGCAGCGCAGGTCCTCGCAAACCGGGGTCAGCCAATAGGCGCGGCCGCCTCGCGGCCACGAACGGCTCCCTCACCCGGGTCAGCCAAAGGGGGTCGTCGCAGGATCCTGCAGGATCCGGCGCCGTGGCTGACCCCCGTTTGCATTGACCCCCGTCTCAAGGCTCCCGATGCCGGGCCGCGGTGTGCCGTCGCCGGCCGTCGAGGGCACGAGAGGCGGGACGTTTTTTTTTTGACCTGCGGGGCGAGGGCGAACCTCCTCCTCCTCCTCCTCCTCCTCCTCCTCCTCCTCTTCCTCCTCCTCCTCCTCCTCCTCTTCTTCTTTTCCTCCTCCTCCTCCTCCTCTTCCGCGAAAAGCTGGGCGGGCTGCGCACGGCTTTCATCAGGGAGGCAGGGCACAGGAAGGCGGGCTACGCACAGCTTTCATTACAGTCGGGGCGATGACAGAAGGAACCCTAACTAAGGAGCGAGGCCCCATTTTTTCCATAAGTTGAACTTCGATTTCGGATCGAAAACATAAGGAAAACCTGAGGCAAGCTGTGAAACTTGAGGAACACGGAGCCCCTCCCAAACGAAAAGGGTTCCTTCTTCAAGGCCCCGACTGTAGGAAGACAGGGCACAGGAAGGCGGGGCCTCAGGCGGCCGGAGAGGGCGAAGCCCAGGGGTGCAGCACGAGGCGGGACACCCGAGGAGCGTACCCGCCCACGCCTCTGGGGGGCCTGGCGGCCGTGGCACATGCGGGCTGGGCTCGAGGCGGGTCGGGAGCTCGAATAGGGGGAAAACAAACATACCTCGCTTTTGACCACCCTCGCTTCCAAGAGATACCAAGCGGTGCCAAACTACGGCCTGTACTGGTCAGGCCGCTTGACGAGGAGGCGCGTGGCATGACTTGGTTTTTCCTGGAAGCGAAAGCGGGGTAGGTAATTCACGCTCTGATCGAGGCCTGACAGCCACAACCTGTCGGGCGTGGGGGCGTCTCGGAGGGCTTCGAGATGTGCCGGGGAATGCTGTGACCCCGTGGGACTCTCTGGCGCCCCCTGGCTCGAGAAGATGGGGAGGAGGAGGACGACTCATACTACACAGACATAGAATCATATACACATAGACATAGAAAGAGAGAGAGAGAGAGAGAGACAAGAGAGCGAGAGAGAGAGAGCGAGAAGCGCAGTCGTGAGGTGATCATCGTGATCATATGCCTTCGGCCCCTCAGGATGGAGGCCCCTGCCCTTCAGATCTGCCAGATGTGAACGGAGCGGCAATGCATGATAAGTTCGACGGAGGTGGTAGAAGGCCGAAGACGCATCCGAGGAGCGGCTGGGAGGAGTCCTGCACCACAAGCGGCGCAGGAGGGCCCACGAAGGCCGCCCGAGGTCCCCCCTTTTGGGGCGTCTGAGAAACTCTTCCGACCGAGACATACATCTTACACGACATCGGCCCCCTCCTCCCAGACTCCTCCCCGAGGGGAGGGACAGCGGTCCTGAGGCACAGTCAGACTTGATTGGACAGGACACCCGAGAGGACACAAGACCCTTCCGAGCGCCACGCTGCCATAGGAATGTAGGAGGCATAGGTCGCGAAACTCAGGACACAACGGTACCCTTGAATAGGCAGAGTCGACTTACTAATCCTGGCCGACTGCCTAATCCTGGCCGACTGCACTCCTCCACATCCCCCTGCTCCTCCTTCACGCCCTCCTTCAGCCCACGGAGCGCCGACGTCGTGGACCCCTGGAGGTCGCGACCCCTTCCCCGGGGCCAGCAGCTCAAATGGAGCCATGTGTTAAAAAGCCCCGGGGCCCGGTTCCGAGAATCCCCCCAGGCGCCAGAGAACACGGAGAACCTTCCGTCCGGAGTTCCCCCCGAGTCGAAGCAATCTGGGCCCTCCTCCTCCTCCTCCCCCTCCTCGTCGTCGACCTCCTCCATTCCTTCTCCTTATAGATAACTCATCCCTGTCGCACCCCGAGGAGGGCGGGCCGGGCGTCGCGCCTGAGACTTCCTCACCACTTATGACCTTGAAGCTTAAAACGTGACAACAGTTCCACAGATGGAGGGCGGGTCGCTTTCAAAATGTGGCTATCGCCTCAGCGCCGCGCACATTCGTTTCTAGTATTTGCAAGAGCTTCACGGATTGAGGGCGGGTCGTTTTCAAAATGTGGCTCTCGCCATAACACCGCGCACATTGTTCCTAAACATTTGCAGCAGTTTCACAGATTGAGGGCGGGTCGTTTTCAAAATGTGGCTCTCGCCTTAGCGCCGCGCATTTTCGTTTCAATCATTTGCAAGAGTTTCACGGGTTGAGGGCGGGTCGTTGTCAAAGTGTGGTTCTCGCTGTAGTGCCACGCAAATTATTTTTAAACATTGCTAGGGAGTTTCACAGATTGATGGCGGGTCGTTTTCAGAATGTGGCTCTCCCTTTAACGCCGCGCGCATTCGATTAAATAAATTGCAAGAGTTCATCACGGATTGAAGGCGGCTCGTTTTCAAAATGTGGCTCTCGCATTCGCGCCGCGCACATTCGTTCTTTAATAGTTGGAAGAGCTTCACGGATTGAAGGCGTGTCGTTTTTAAAATGTGGCTCTCGCCTTAGCGCCGCGCACATTCGTTTTTTTCAACAGTTGCGAGAGTTTCACGGATTCCCATAATCAACGCACCAGAAATGTTTGGAAGGATTCAGGGTTATGCAGGCGCAACAGTTATAATGATTCGCTGTGTTGAAGCTCCCAAAATGGCATTCTGGCACGATTCGGGATCGTCAAGAACCAGCAGTCAGGTTGAGACGCGGCGTTGAAATCCCGAGAACAATGTTTTGGCACGCTTCAGGATCTTCACACTGTTGTCTTCCAGCGAGGCAGTTGCGTCAATGGAAATCAACCGTTGTAGGAGCCTGTGAAGAGGGAGCTTGAAGGAAGGGTTACTTCGAACATCGTTGATGTCTCCTGGGTTTCCACTGGTCCTCGTCCTCCTCCTCGTCCTCCTTCTCCTCCTCGTCCTAATCCTCGTCCTCCTCCTCCTCCTCCTTCTCCTCCTCCTGCTCCTCCTCCTCCTCCTCGTCCTCCTCCTCCTCAACCTCCTCCTCCTGCAAAGCTGTTCACTGCAGGGACCGCAGGAGGCACGAGAGGGCGACTGCCCCAAGCCCTCCGCGGCCTGCGCCGCGGGCGCAGCGCCCGCCGCCGCGCGGGTCGACGCCAGCTGGCCTGCTCAGCACTCCTATCGGCCAGAAGCCGCAGACTTGGACCCCGTCAGCACGCGGTGGAAGCCGCCGAAGAAGCCCTCGCTCTTGAACGTCTGGATGTTGTCCTCTCCTTCTCCTACTTCGTCTCCTACTTCTCCACCACCTCCTCCTCCTACTCCTCCTCCTACTCTTCTTCCTCCTCCTCCTCCTTGTCCTCCTCCTCCTCCTTGTCCTCCTCCTCCTCCTTGTCCTCCTCCCCTTCCTCCTCCTCTTCCTCCTCCTCCTCCTCCTCCTGTTCCTCCTCCTCCCCCCCTTCCGTGTGAGGGGCTATGAGACGGGGGAGGCTGGCATGGGGGGGGGGAGGCATCGACCACCCGGAATCGGCGGTGCGCTGACGACAGACCTGCGCGAATGAGGCCCCCCGGGAGCGAGGCCGCACGCCTCCTGGGCAGGGCGAGGCTCTCCGGCCCCCATCGGCGATCAACTGGGCGATGGGGAGCCGATGCGGCCCCCCTGCGCCCATGCTCGGCAACACGCAGTAGTGACCCTGGGCAAGAGTTCGGAGGCAACTGCTGGGAGGTCTTCGTCGGAAAGAGTAAGGAGGTTTCGGCCCCATTGGGGGGCTATTACGCTGGGTGAGGCCGCCGATGAAGCGGGACTGAGCCAGACTACCCGGGATTCAGCGGGACTAAGCGGGAATGAGCCGGATTAACCCCGTTTTCGGACCAGGGCAAAGTCAGAATTTGACCTCCCAGGAGGTGCATCCGAACAAGAGTGACCTTTGGTGCGCGGCTTTAGGGGGGGGGGCGCGAGGGGGGCCAAACACAAGCGCGCAGGACGCGACCATCACATTGCGTTCGGCGATCGTGGGACCGCACTGGGTCACGTTTGCGTGTGGGGCCCGTCCACCCCATCGTTGCTCCCCGACCGTGGGGCGCGCGACCAGGCGCGGGCTCCTCCCCGGTTGGGGCGCGCCGCGCAAAAGCGCGCGACGGACGCCGCGCCGCGCGCGGCCGCGCAACTGGCAGAAGGCACGGAGATGACGGGCCCTGCCGAAAACCGTGCCTGGGCCTGGGGGGGCCTTCCTGCCGCAGCACGGGACGCCAAAGGGGTGGACCACGAAGGGTAGGATTTATGGCAGAGGACAGGGCAGAGAGCCAGCTCGCGCATAGCCTGCTTGCCTGGCGCCTCCCAGCGCCGGGAGGCGCCCAGGGTGTCGGGAGGTGGGCCCGGCGGCGGGGCCGAGATCGGCTGCACGCGACAGATGTCGTACCCTCCCCCCTTTCCCTATCCCCCCTCCGTCCGGCCCGGGACGTGACAGCTCCTAGGCCCAACTCCCAGCGGCTAGGGGATAGGGGGTGCACATATCCTCGACGAAAGGGGTGCGTTCGACTAGCCCCCCTGGGGGGCGCATCGTAAACTTTGTTGTTGCGGGGGCGGCCAAGAGGGGGGCGTCCAAGAGGGGGGGTGCGCAAGTCATGGCCCGCGGCATGTGAGCGGCCAAAGGGGGGGCCAGGGACGTAATGGAATAAGAAGAAGCGCCATGAAATCTGGGGAAACATCATGGCCCACGCCATGATATCCCCCCCCCAGTCATCACCCCCCTCTTTGCCGCCCCCGATTGTTCTTATCTAAGCAGCTGTTCTTTGTTGCAACAGCCCGGGCTTGGAGGCGAGAGATCGCCTGCGACGCATGCAAGTTCTTCATCAGGAGAGGTGTTTCGACAGTCGCGGGGCCAAGGGGGGCCGCAAGATGCCGAAGACGGCAAAACACCACCACCACCTCCTCCTCCTCCTCCTCCTCCTCCTCCTCCTCCTCCTCCTCCTCCTCCCCCTGCTCCTCCTCTTCCTCCTCCTCCTCCTCCTCTTCCTTCTCCTCTTCCTTCTCCTGATCGCAGCCCCCCCATCATCATCATCATCATCATCATCATCATCATCATCATCATCATCATCATCATCATCATCATCATCATCATCATCATCATCATCATCATCATCATCATCATCATCATCATCATCATCATCATCATCATCATCATCATCATCATCATCATCATCATCATCATCATCATCGTCAGCATCATCATCATCATCGTCATCACCATCACAATCACCATCACCATCACCATCATCATCATCATCATCATCATCGTCAACATCATCATCAGCAGCATCATCATCACCATCATCAGAATCATCATCCTCCTCCTCATCATCATCCTCAACATCAGCATCATCCTCAGTATCATATTCATCATCCTCACCATCAGCATCATCATCAGTATCACCTTCATCTTCATCACCATCACAATATAGCCATGACCATCAACATCAGTATTAATATCATCATTCACATCATCAACATCGTCATCATCGACATCATCACCATCATAATTAGCAGCAGCAGCATCGTCGTCATCACTCATCATCAGCATATCCGGCATCACCATCACTATTACTAACAACATAACGACCACCATCAATATCACAAGCATCATCATCAGCAGCAGCATCGTCATCATCATCATCATCATCATCATCATCATCATCATCATCATCAGCATACTCACCATCATCATCATCATCATCATCATCATCATCATCATCATCATCATCAACAGCAACATCAACCTTCAGCAACATCATCTTCATTCTCATCAGCATCATCATCATCATTCCCCTCGTTCTCCTCTTCCTCCTCCTCCTCCTCCTCCTCGTCTTCCTGCTTCCTCTCCTCCTCCTCCTCCTCCTCCTCCTCCTCCTCCTCTACGTACCGCCTCCTTATCCTCCTCCCCCTCCTTTTCCTCCTCCTCATTCTCCTCCGCCTCTTCCTCCTCCTCCTCCTTCTCCTCCCCCTCCTCCTCCACTTTCTCCTCCTCCGCCCTCTCCTCCTCCTCCTCACCCGAAGCCATGTTTGCTCAAAGCCGTCGCGGCCGGCCCCATCGCGCCCGTCCTGTGCCGATGGGCATCGCAGTTTGGCTCCGTCCTGGCGGCGGCGGCCGTGGCGTCGACCAGGTCGCTTTAGTTAGTGGCGGAGGGCTCCAGCAAGATGACAACAACTTCATGCTAGTGAGTGCCAGGCGCGGGGGCGTTGACCCTCAGCTCGCCCCCCCAGGTTGTCGACGTGACCGTCGTCATCGGTTACTCCAAGACACCATCGGCAGCGTCAAGGACGAGTGCCCCCGCACATCCGTCCCCGAGGAGGGCAGCACAGCCGGGCAAGACCGGCAGCGTCAAGGCCCCACTCCACGGCAAGGGCCAGCAGCTGGAGCGCGGCCACTCAAACTGCAAGCACTGCGACGGCAACTCGCCAACACGAGTTGCGACAATCCTTCGAGCAGCTGCTGCTCCACTTCAACGCTTCGTGCGGGGCAGCATGCCGCACAGAAATTCAAACGCATCGTCCTTGGGCTACAGACGGCCAGGTCTCGGAGCTCTCCGGCTCCTCCGCCGCGTTGGCTCAGCAGCTCAGCGCCGACATGCGCATGGGATGAGGCGGCCTGGAAGGGCAGCATGCCTCCCTCTTCCCTCTCGGCCGCGCCAGGAAGCGCTTCAGACTCCACTTGGTATCTACGGTCCTCCTCTCCCTCCTCCCCCCTCTCCTCCTCCTCCTCCTCCTCCTCCTCCTCCTCCTCCTCCTCCTCCTCCTCCTCCTCCTCCTCCTCCTCCTCCTCCTCCTCCTCCTCTGGCTCCTCCTCCTCCTCCTCATCCCCCTCCTCCTCCTCTGGCTCCTCCTCCTCTCCCTCCTCCTTCTCCTCTTTTCCTTCTCCCTCCTCCTCCAGCCGGGGACACGTTTCGCTCAGGGCCCGTTTGCTCCACGGCGGCCCAACGGCCCGCGGCTGGAACGAACGACGCCTCCGCGCCCGCTGCCGTGGCCAGGCGCCGCGGCTTTGACTCCCGCCACCCGAGGCGCGGCCGTTCGGACGACCACCGGGAGTTCAGAGGTGGGGCCCGTGGGGTACTGATGACGCACACGCTGACGATGACGCTAACGTTGACGCTGACGACGATGACAATGGTAACGATGGTAACGATGATGATGACGATGATGATGATGACGACGATGACGATGACGATGCTCATGGTGATGGTGATGATGCTGTTGATGATTATTATGATGAGGAAGCCGATGACGATGATGATGTCAGAATGCTGATGTTGTTGATGATGATAATGTTGATGCTGATGACGATGACGGTGACGATGACCATCGGGGTACCGTAGCCGTCGTGCTGCCAGAAGCAGCGCTGCATAGGAAACGAAGGGGCTCCCCTGGCAACGGCCAGCCTCGGCCCCGAATGGGCCCCCCGATCTAGATCTGAGGATATCGGCGGTGGACAAACCTCCCTTTAGTAGACCTCACCTTACAGGGAGGTTTTTATTACATGGGATTGTTATGTCATGGGATCTTTATTAGACATGGTCGTAGACTACGAGAAATTGCATCTCCCGCGCGCACCAGAATACATGCGACGTTTAAGAAACATGTCCGAAGACTAGTCAAAACGCACCCGTGCGCGGACGATGGAGCAACATGGTCGCTCACTGCCTCCGATGAGCAATTACGCGCGAGCGCCAGAATCCATAATATTTATTTATTTTATATATATACACATATAATTATACATATATATATATAAACATATATTAACATATAAAAGGCGCACGCAACGGGCCAATGGGAAACGGCAGTGGGCGCCGCCCGACAACCGTCGAATAATCAAAAACCTATGCGAAACGGCCAGAAGGGCGCCGCCCGACAACCGCCGAATAATCAACAACCGATACGACACGGTCATGGGCGCCGCCCGACAGTCGCCGAATAATCAAAAAACCAATACCAAACGGCCATGGGTGCCGCCCGACAACTGCCGAATAATCACAAACCAATACGAATCGGCCATGGGCGCCGCCCGACAACCGCCGAAAAACCAAAACCACCGCGCGCGCAAGTCATGTGTTAAAAACCTCCCTGTAGTGAAAACAGCCTGGGACCGAAACCGACGGACCTGGACCCGCAGAAGTGACGGCCGCGACGCCCTCTCGCGAGCCGAAAACGGCCAATTCCTTCATGGACGCGCCAGGGTAGGAAGTCCGTCCACCCCCATACAGTCGGGACGTTGACCTAAGGAACCCTAAATAAGGAACGAGGCCCCTTTTTCCCATCAGTTAAAGTTCGATTTCCCATCGAAAACCTAAGGAGAAGCTAAGGCAAGCTGTGAAATCATCAAGGAACACGGAGCCCCTCCACAACGAAAACAGTTCCTTCTTCAGCGCCCCGACTGTAGCACCTCCGAGGAGCGGGCCGCGGACACGGACCGAAGCGGAGCCTCGACCGCTCGAGGGGCCACGCGCCCCCCCACAGGCCCCATAGCCCTCCGCGCCGCCCCGCCTCCGAGCCGCCGAGGCCAGGGCCCCGACCAGGCAGCCAGCCGCCCCCCCCCCCCCCTTCCCTTGCCGTCGCTCGGGCGTCCATTTCCCGTGCATGGTTCGCTTTCGTATGTTTTTTCCCTCGATGGCCCAGGATGGTCCTCGATGTTTCTCGCCGAGGAAAAATGCACACGTCCAAGCGATGCAAAGTTCCCCTGTCGATTCTCATCAGAACGTGCGTTAGCGCCAGCGTGTGATTGCCTTTAAGGCCCTCCAGCACGACGCAGGCGATGTAATGATCTACCGGTGGAGCTGAGAGCGGTGTGAACACACAGTGGGCTAACACACGTCCCGAGGGTCATCGACCCTGGCGGTCGCCCCGACACGCTGGGGGTTCCGCTGCCAATGGGGGGTTGCACCGTCCATCCGGTGCTGCTCCCCTTGCTCCTCCTCCTCCGCCCCTTTCCGCCCTTGGCTCGTCGTCGTCCTCGTCCTCGTTCTCCTGCTCCTTCTCCTCCTCCTCCTGCTCCTGATCCTTCTCCTCCTCCTCCTCCTCCTCCTACTCCCCTCATCTCCTCCTGCCCCGTGCGCCCTCATGCTTTGCCCTCCCGCTGCCTCGTCCCCCCCCCCTCTCCACGGTCACATGTCCACGCGGGCATCAACCCCGAAGCTTCGCTCAGGACGCGCGTCTAGCGTGAGCCGTTCTTCAAAATTGAGATGTGGGGTGCGCTTTTTCCCTCGCGGCACCGTCGCCGCCGTTCCTGCCTCGGCCTCTCGTAACTGCATCCACGCCACCGTTCCGCTTCAGCCTTCTGCTCTTGACCTCCACTGTGCGCGACGTCAACGCTGCCCGAGCCAAGTGCTCGCTGCAGGGGCCCAAAGGCCTGGCAGCGCCGGCGCATCCCACCGCTGCCTCCCGAGCTCCGCGCCCTCCTCGTCTTACGGCTCCGCTGCTGCTCCCCCCGCGCCTCCTCGCTTGTGCTGTCTCGCAGGCCAGCGCGCGCCTCCTGGACTGCGCCTCCTTTTCCCGGCGCCTGCACGGCCCCTGCCTTTGCCACGACCTCTTCCGCGTGGCAAAAAGATGGTGCGGCCTCTTCACCTCGCGCGGCCCTCGCAGGACCAGGAGGGAGCGAGGGCGGCGGCGAGGAAGCGAGGGAGACGACAAGAAAGCGAGGGAGACGACGGTGAAGCGAGGGAGCCCGACCACGATCTGCGACGCGGGCCCAGCGGCCAGGCGTGCAGCTGGCATCGGGCAGCCTTTCCCCTGACCCCTCGCAGGGGTGCCGCCCGCTCCCCGTCCCCGCCCGCGGCTGCAGCCTGCACATCCACTCCGATCGCCCGCCGCGGAGGGAGGCGCCCGAAAGGCACGGCGCCGATCGCATCCGTCGGGGTGCGCAGCCGTTGCGCGGCTCCTCTCCTCTCCTCGCCCCCTCTCCTCGGCCGAGGCTGTCTGCTGCTCCTTGTCTTCTCCTCTTGGCCGAGGTGTGCAGCAGACCGCGCGCGGCGCCTGCGCTTCTCTGGGCCCCTGCTGCGTGCAGACAGCCCTCCCCTGGGCGACGGCCAGTCCTTGTAGCACTTGAACATGGAGATGCCGCACACGGAGAGCCCATAGCCCATCACCTCCGCAACGCCAAGCCGCATCGCGACGAGGACGACGGAGGGGTTGGGGGCGGGCGGACGATGAAAATACGAGGCTCTTCCCGCCCCTCCACTTCCCCTCCTCTCTGGCCGTTTGCGCCCGCCCCCCCCTCTCTTCGGCTACACGCAGGAGTGACCCTGGGTAAGAGTGACCTTTGGTGCGCAGCTTTTTAGGGGACCGCGGGGGGGCCAAGCACACGCGCGCAAGACGCTACTATCGCATCGCATTTGGCGATCGGAGGACCCCATTGGGCCCGCACCAAAGGTCACTCCGGCGAAAGGTCACTCTTACGTCTAGCCGATCTCTGGCCTCCAGTGGCGCAATGGGCGTCTGGAAGATGACCACCGAGGCGGCGATGGCTCCGACGTCCTCGGCGGGCCGTCGTCTCTCGGTCGGCTGGCCCACCCTCGGGGAGGGAGATCGGGAAGGGGGAAGAGTGGACAGAAGAGGGGAATGAGGAGGAGGGGGAGGAGGAGGAGGAGGAGGAGGAGGAGGAGGAGGAGGAGGAGGGGGGAGGAGGAGGACGGTGACCACGCAGGTCCCCCCCTGTCGTCCTGCTGATCCTGGTTTCTCCTCCTCTTGCTCCTCGTCATCCTTCATCCCTCCTCCTTCTATCCCGCATGTTCCGAACGTTCCCTTTCTCCCTGTCGTCCGTCATTGTCCTCCACCCCCTCCGCAAGCTCCCATCTTCATGCTGCTAATGCACCTTTTCCTCCTTCTCCTCCACACCCTCTTTCTCCTCCTTTTTCCTCCTCCTCCGCCTTGCCCTCCTACTCCTGCAAAATTGAAAGAAAGATGGTGATGTGGATGGGACTTTGTTGTACAATGTTCGGGCACTCCACATTCGTATGTGTATGTCCTGCGCCGCCGCTAGGCGGTTGTAAACACTTGAGCCGGAGGTCACGGGTTGCACAGTAATATGATGGGGGCTACATCGAAACATCCCCCCTCGACCTGATGACCCAGGTCCGGTATATTTCGCGCAACCTGATTTAACCGTCCCTGTCACGGGCAGAAGTCGGAGCAGACTCGACGGTACAACAACTGTATCAGGATAAGTGACAGAAAGTGTGGCAACTGCTAAACACATCCCAATTACATGGTGCATGCTTCTATACACGGTAGCAGGCGCATAGTTTGCGCAAAGCGAGCGCAGCTTAGCAACGCAAGAAATGAGTTAGGTTATGGCGGGCTATCCGCACGATTTCTATACGTCCTAGCTGCATATTGCACTAAACGTTGGTGGGGTTGTTCACTGGTGAGGGCGACAGATTTTGGAGCCTGATAGGATACAGAACACACGTTTGCACGTCAGTCGCGTTGAGCCCCCTAGCTGCGTCGAGGAGGCGCTCGGTTCGAGCTCGGGCGCTTGCCATGGCCCTTCTGTGACTCCCTGAACCCACGTTCGCGGTTACGCGCGGTTGCGCTCTTCTCCATCATGGGATGGTGGTCCTCCTCAAGCGTGAAGCGGTTATCGTTCCTCGCGTTGAATTTCTCACTACAACCCGCCGGATTAAAAAAAGAGACCGTGGGAACCGAGAAAGACGCGGTTGGCCTCCCGTTAGGCCACGGGGCCCGGGGACAATGTTGGACTCGGGGCCCATTCGGGAATTTCGAATGCATCTCTCACCCCTTGAAATATAACGGCCAAATGTGGTCAGCGTTTGAAAATGCGATTCCGCCTGAGACTTCCGCAACCAAAACTTTCAGATCGCCTTCCAGGGCGATCTGAAAGTTTGCCGCGGCATCTGAAAGTGGCGATTTCGCGTGGGACTTCCTCAGAAAAATTGTCCGATCCATCTTCATGCCGCTTGAGAGCGGCGATATCGCCTGAGAATTCCTCGCAGGGTATTACCCGACCGCTATTCACACCGCCAAAGGGTGGCGACTTCGCTTGGGCTGTCCTAACAACCGCGCGTCTCGTCCACCCCCGCGTCGCCGTTCCTCCGTTCGGGTCACGACTCTGTCTGGGAGGTACTTGGGATCGATCGAAGGTCGATGCTTGAGTTTTTCGATTGGCAAAGACCCAGGTGTTGTTTCCTGGCATAGTGCCGATCACCATTTTTAAATCCAGGGGATGGTACTGTCCTCCAGGCACCCTGTTTCACCTTGTGGTCGCTGTTGTCCAAAATATCCGCTGACTGGTGCCCTAGCCCACTGCAACGACCAGTGGCCTTCCAGAAGGTGCAGTCTGGGTGCTGGAGGGATGGAGTTGCCCAGTCCATCATTCTCTTCTCACATTTCTGGAAATACTCGGTGCCTGAGTGGGGGCATCAGCCCACATCTTTGAATATTTACCCGGCAACTGGGCCTGGCAGAGGCGAGAGGACTGTCTCGTCGCTAATGATTTCCCTTGTAACGAACCTCCTGGTGAATCCAGTTATCGCCACCCCGGTCGTGAACCGGGCGAGATGTATGCTTCTCGCACACGCGGGCTGCCAGCGTGGTCTGATACCAGGTTAACATGAGTTTTTGTTGCACGCTTTCGATTGTAACTGGCTGGCTTCCTGGCCATAGTGCGCGGCAATTGCAAACTCATTCGCGAATTCCCGGGTTAGGAATACTATCGCCCATGTCCCGATCATGATGCTCTCGTGGTTATTGTGGGTCGTGCTGTCGCTGTATAGGACCTTCATGCCGATCACGGTGGAGTCACCTTGCCAGAACATACCGAACCAGGTGGGAGTCTTGGCAATAGTCGCAGTCGTCCTTGACCACTCCCGCTCCTTCTGGGCCCACCAGCTCGCGGTCCAACCCGCGATGCGGTCGCCCCATCATTCCCACGCACGTCGTTCCAACCATGTACGCGCTCGGGCATCCTGCGGAAGTCGAGATCTTGATTGGAATGCCCAGGAGGCAGGACGAACCCCCCCTGCGCGACTCGATCAGGTCACCTGGCGGGATTTGGCCGAAGCCCGTCTTAGCGATTGCGATTGGCCCGCGCGTCGACGTGAGTAGTTTAGTAGTTTTAGGTCGGGCATGTCCCCCTACAGGTGGATTTTGGACGCGGAATGAAACATAGTCGAAAAATGCGCCGAAATCGCCCAGAATGGTCAAGCATCGTCCCCTGACCATTTGTTGACTACCTTCGAGTACTCCTCCTGCAGAGGGACACGCCCGACAACAAGAGCAGCTGAGCCCTGTGGCGACTCCGGCGGATGTCGGGAGCCGCAGCGGCAGTGGCTCGCTCGGCTCACCTGCTGCCTCGGCGCCTCTGCCTGACTGAAGGGGCCCCAGGACACACAAACAAATACACACAAACAAAAATGCCCCCCATATCTCCCCATATTTCCTTGGCTTTTGTCTCCCCCCCACCACTTCCCATATTTTCCCATATCTTCTGGGGAATCGACGATGAATTGTGTCTGCGTGTGTTTTTCCCCTCCTGCCTGACTCCCTCGTGCCACTGCGCTCGCCAGCGGCCCACGGCGGCCGGACGAGCCTGGCGGGTCACCCCCTGGTCCTGCGGGCGCCCTGGCCATCGCTCGGACGTCCATGCCCTGTGCTTTTTGTCGGTTTTGTGCGTGGCTTTTTCGCGAAATCATCAGGGATGCTCCTCGATGGTCCTCGCCGAAAGGAAGAATGCACACGTCCGAGCGATGCCAAGGACATGAGCGTAAACTTTTGGCGCTCCGCGGGGACTTCTTGGATCTGCGCTAGATCTGCGCTGGACCCCTCGCCCTGGCGGAGCGCGCCGGGGGCGGCGCCGGAGGCGCCGCTGGGGGAGACCAGCGCGGATCCAAGACATCCGCGCGGAGCGCCAAAAGTTCATGTTTATGGCGTGTGTTCTTCTTCGATGTTGGCCCACTGTGCCGCTAATTTGTCCGTCGCCGTGGTTGCCGGCGCTGGCCCGCTTGAACTACCTGGAAGGTTAGAGTTAGGTCGGACATGTCCATCTACAGGCGGGTTTTGGACGAGAAGGTAAAATACCAAACACATGCGAAATAACTGTCCAACAATAGTATACCAGAATCGACAAATCGTCCCCCGAATATCTTTTTTGGGGTATGTTTGAACATTCCTCCTGTAGAGGGACAAGCCCGACGGAAGGTCAGAGAGGACGCTTAGAAGGGTACCAGGTCACCCGGCTTCGTCGTCGTCGAGGCCTTGGCCCCCGCGCCCGCTGTGACCTCGGGCGTGCCCCCTCGATCCTCGATGGCCTCGGATGCCATGCTCGAGTGGCGGGCTGCGTCTTTGAGGGCCCGGTTAACCTGCGCGACGGTTCCATCGTGGCCCAACAGGTGGCTGACCTCATTGATCTTGGTTATACACTGTTCATTGTTAGCCGCAACGTTACGCCAGGCGTTAGCCCGTTCAGCATCACGCGCAGTTTCGCCCTTAAGAATCTCGTCCTCTTCCTCCTTGAGCTCGTCGTTGCGCGTCAGTACTTCATCGTTGCGACTCAGCAGTTCCTCGGAGACCGCATTCATCTCGTCAGTTGCACCCCAGCGGCCTTCGATGATGTGACGGATGCCGCCCCGTGAAATGCAGAGCAACACGGTGGCGCGTGTTGCAACCTTTGACGGGGCTGCATCAAGAGCGCCATTCTGCCACGTGGCGTCACGTGCCTGGTTACTGAGATAAAGAATGTATTCCGTCTTGTCTCGGGTTGCCTCCACTTCTGCGCGGCTTACGGCACCCGGTGCGATGAGGTCAAGGGTCGCGCCACTTATCGTCGCACTCGCTGCGGGCGACAGATGCAGCTCGGGGGCTCCGACACCAGCCATGGACGAGGATGGGGTGGAGGACTTCCCCATGAGTGAGCGCATCCGCATCGCCGCCCAGTGGCGGGTGGAGACCGCTGGAGCGAGGGCGTGAGGCGGATCTCTGCCGACGCAGGTCTGCCCCGACCGCCACCCTACCGCCAACCCAAGCACTCGAGCCCCTTGAGGCCAGCGTGGGACAGTCCAGCGCAGCCGGCGCGCGGTCTTTTGTACATTACCAGCCCAGTGTTCATTGCCTGGGTGGTTCGCTCGCCCCTGCCACTGCGCTTGCTTCAGTCCCCGCGCAGGCCATTGAGCTTGCAAAGGGAAGCTGCGTCATGCACCACACGCGCAGCACTGAGCACGTGGCGGCGCAACCACCGCGGCTCGACGTCTGTTCGCGTCAGCGCGTGTGCACAGCACGTCCCTGGGATTGCAGGTCTACGCTGCCGAGTACAGCGCCATGTCCCCGACACTGCCCGTACACTAGTCGCCATGGAGGGTCCAGGACGTGGCTGAGGAAGTGAGACGGTGCTCTTGGGACTGGCACTCTGTGGCATCAGTGTCCCTGGGATCGGAGACGGACCACGGAAACCACGTGTGCGGCATGTACGACTGTCCCCCGATCCTAACACTGCATGTGCTAGGACAGAGCTCCATTCACTCGAAAGGTTGCACCGAACTGTTACAGCAGAAACTGGCCCTGAAGGGCAGTGCCGCCGCAGCAAGGACCAGGAGTAGCGAGAAGGCCGAGGGGAGGCAGCCGAGCTCAGGGCCTCCCAGACCTCCGACGTCAAGAGTGGTCACGGCGCTCGGCTGCGAGATGTTCTTTCACGAACGCTTGGACAACTTCGACGGATACCAAGTGATGCGCCGTGGCTCCTGCTGGGGCAGCAGTGAGCTAAGAAACTGGGCCAAACTTCACGACAGTTTCGGACCCAACGCTCGAGTCCGCCGATCCACACGTTGCTTAAGAGACACTTGGCCAAGGGAAAGGTGGGAGGCTTCTTGATCATCTGCCGGACTGCAATCAGGCGACGTCTGCACTTCTAAATGACATGTGCCCTGCATTGGGCCTGCACCACACTCTCTGGGAGCCTCCTCGACCACGTCCCCGGGATAGACTCTCTCAGCGCCAGGCCCGAGAGCATCCAAGAAGCTGCTGGGGCAGCAAGCACGTCCCCCGCCCGACGGCTCCACCCGCCGCCCCAGATCGGCCATGGGCCCCAGTGCGCTGGCGGGCGGACTGGAGGAAAAATAGGTTGAGGAGGAGGCGAGTAGGAGGAGGAGGAGGAGGAGGAGGAGGAGGAGGAGGAGGAGGAGGAGGAGGAGGAGGAGGAGGGGGAGGAGGAGGGGGAGGAGGAGGAGGAGAGGGAGGAGGGAGGAGGGAGGAGGGAGGAGGGAGGAGGGAGGAGGGTCGCGCTGGAGGCGTTGCTGAGCTGCTCGGCGGTGCTCCTTCAGGATGCCGGCGAGCGTGAAGACCACGGCCGACGCCTGGAGGGGGGACGGCGGTTGTACTAACGGGGAGCTCCGCGTCGGGGTCGCTGACGCTTCGGCGCGACACCCGTCCTCGATCCTCCCGAGGCCGCCTACGACCAAGGCGCGGAAGTCTGGGCTCCGGCTGGAGGGGCTCAAGCGCAGTGCCAAAAGGTGCAGCGCAGAACAACGGCAACGCCAAAGCAACTGCAATGGAAACTCGAACCTGACCAGACCAGATCGGGAAGCGCCTGTATGTGTGAAACGCAAATCGTGTTGGACGGTTTTGGGCTATCTTGAGGCCGCTGGAGGCCGTTTTCCGTAATCCGCCAGCGCAGTTTCAAAGTGCAGCGCGTACCCGATTATCAATGTTTACCACCAACAAACGGTCCACGCCAGGGGCGCTTCCCGTCATCCGCCGGTCCCCTTGTGGGGCCACCAGGCTGCGGGGGTCGTGCGCCAGTAAGGAGGGCCAGGTCCTGAGCTCCTCGGCCCTGGTCGCAGTTCCCGTGCAGAGTCCAACCTCGAGGCCCCAGTGTGAGAGTTCTACCTCGAACTCTTCCTACTACTTGCCGTCGCTCGGACGTCCATTTCCCGTGCATTTTTCGGTTTCGTGCGTGTTTTTTTCGCCAAATTATCAAGGATGCTCCTCGATGGTCCTCGCCGAACGAAAAATGCACACGTCCGAGCGATGCCAAGACTATTGCAGATCCTTGCGAGTGTGGAAGCCGAACGCCGCCCCTGTTACCACGGTCTTCCGGGGTTCTCAGAGTTTCCCCGGGAGGGCCTTGGGACACGCAAGTATGCGTGAGTTTCGCGCCCACGGGGCCATAATCATTCGTAGATTAGGCAATGTTCTTCTCCCCGATGCCATCACCCTTAGCAAGTGCGCAAGATCCGCGCGGAGGCCACGGTCCTTGTTGAATTGCGCAAGATTAAGGCCCCTGAGGTCACGAGCCATGGCAAATTGCGCCAGGTTCGGACAGCCGAAACCACGAGTCCTCGTACAGTATGCGTGATTGGCGCCCCCGAGACCATGATAGCTGAAACATAATCCCAAATGGATTGCGCCGCATTCGCGCCTCAGGGGCCGCGATCCGTTGTTAATTACGCCAGATTCGTGTCCCCGAGGCCGCGATTCCTTGCGCATTGAAACCAGATTCGCGCCCCCGAGGGCACGATTCCTTGTAAAGGACGCCGTGATGACCAGCCGTCCTCGCACGAGGTTCTGATATTGCGTCACGTCAGTGCCCAGGCATCCCAGCAAAGCTCTGGTAGATTTCATTCTGACGGATGGGGGAGCAGAGGACAAAGCCCTTACGAATACATTTGCCGACATGGTAGTTGGCGTTTTGACATCACACCTTTCGTGAATCCCCCAGAATTACACATGAGAAAACCCCAATCAGTGGATGATTTGAAAATTGATACTATGGATCTTGAGATCGATTGTGAGATCGATAATGAGATCGATAGTGGAATCGATAGTGAGGTCGATTGTAAGGTCGATCGTGAGACCGAGAGTGAAATCGATCCAATGAGATCGATAGTGCGATCGATCGCGAGATCGCTCATGCGGTCTCTAGTGAGATCGCTTGTGAGATTGACATTGAGATCGATTGTGAGATCGATGGTGAGATCGATCGAGAAACCGGTAATGAGATCGATGGTGAGACCGATCGATCATAAGATCGACCAAGAACCCTGGAACCCGGGAACCTCGCCGCCCTCCGCAATCGGTCCGGAACCCAGAACCGGGAACCCGGGAACCCGGAACCGGGAACCCAGGAACCCGGGAATCCGGGGACCCAGCCTGCCACCAAAATCGGCGGGAAACTTTCGCCAAATCCTTCAGCATCCGCTAGGACCCCTTCAGTGCAAGCACTGATTGGGGAACAACTTCCGAGCCACAAGCGGAACTCAAAACTCAACCTGAAACAACCCAACATTGCGCATAAGACGTCCACTGCGACGAACACCTGCGTTGCCAAACCAGCTGCAAATCACACGAAACCATGATTCGCGTCATGGTCGTTGGCGTTTTGAAAGTCGTATCCTTTCGTGACCCTGCACCACTCCCGACTGACTACGAACCCTGGAAACTGCCAAACTCAAGCTCTATGAACTAGCCGGGGAAGGACAGCAAGGAACACCGTAACGAACAAAACACATGAAACATCCTGCAGCGCAGAAAAACGCGTTGACACCACGCGCTCACTGTACCTTTCCAGAACTGTCCCGACTCACACGCGGAAGTCTAAGCTCAAGCTGAAGCAGCCAAAAACAACACAACAATTGCGCAGTACAAAAAACAACAAATAATTACAACGCAAAACTTACCCTGGCGAAGGACACAACCATATGTGGTTGCGATTGCGGTAAATGTGAGCATCGTCTTTGATGGAGCTCTCTATATGTCCACGGGGGCATCCAGTGCAGCTCCCTATGGGGCCACGATGCGTGTCAGGGGTGTGCCTCGATATGCGGAGAACCACATGTGGCCGCACCCGTAGGGGCCTTAGATGGAGCTCCCCCGACGCGGGCGTGACGCTCACATGCGAACTTCACCACTGGAGCCTTCGGAGAAGCTCCCCATGGGGCCACGGAACGTGTGAGGGCTGTGCCGGCACAGGCGCGACGGCCTCACGCAAACGCCGCCACTGGGGCCTTGGGTGGAACTCCTTATGAGGACACGAAACGTGCGAGGGGTGTGCCGAAACGAGCGTGACGCCTACATGCGAGCGTCGCCACTCGGGCCTTCGGTGGAGCTCCCAATGGGGCCACGAAACGTGTGAGGGGTGTTCAAAAACAAGCGTGACGCCCACATGCGAACGTCCCAGCTGCGGCCTCAGGTGGAGCTCCTCATATGGCCACGGAGCGCGTGAGGAGTGTGCCGACACGGGCGTCCCTCGTGCAAACGCCACCACTGGAGCCTTGGGTGGAACTTCCTATGGGGACACGAAACGTGCGAGGTGTGTGTGTGTGTGTGTGCAAAAACGAACGTGACGCCCACATGCGAACGTCGCCACTGGGGTCTTAGGTGGAGCTCCCAATGGGGCCACGAAACGTGCGAGGAGTGCAAGCGTGACGCCCACATGCGAACGTCGCCACTGGGGCCTTAAGTGGAGCTCCCTATGGGGCTAGGACATGTGTGAGGTGTTTGCCAAAACGGGCGTGACGCCCACGTGCGAACGTCGCCACTGGGGCATTCGGTGGAACACTTGATAGTGGCACGGAAGCTGTAAGGGTGTGCCCAAACGGGCGTGGTTTAGGTGAAGTTCTCTATGGGGCCAAAAGCATTTGAGAGGTGTGCCGACATGGGCGTGACGCCCGCACTCGAACGTCGCCACTGGGGCCTTCGGCGCAGCACCCTATGAGGCCACGGAACGTGTGCGAACGCCTCCACTGGGGCCTTAGGCGAATCTCTTTATGGTGCCACGGGAAATGTGAGGGTTGTGCCGAAATGAAACGGGCGTGAACTAGGTGAAACTCCGTATGGGGACAGGAGTCGTGCGAGGGGGGTGGAGCACCTTGTGGCGCCTCGATGCGTGTGAGGGATGTGCCGGAACGAAAACGTCGAGGGCAGCGAGACCAAATCTGCAAAGCAAAGAACCAACATCCCATGCTGGTTGGCGTTTTGGGTACCGCGCCCTCCAAAAATCCCCCCACACCTTACACGGAATCCTCAATTCAACCTGAAACAGCCAGACGTAGCGCACAAGAAACACGCTACACATGCAAACTTATCCTGGCGAGGGACCCAACCATACGCAGTTGTGACTACCGCCTTGTGGGTACCGCTTTCGGTGGAGCTCCCTATGGGGCCACGGAGCGCTGCACTGCTGGCGCGCACGCATGCAAACATCGCCTCTGGGGTCTTCGGTGAAGCTCCCCATGGGGCCACGAAGCGCTGTACTGGGCGGCGCGGACGCATGCGCACGTCGCCCCTGGGGTATTCGGTGGAGCTTCCTCTAGAGCCACAAAGAGCTGTACTGGGTGGCGCGGACGCATGCGAACGTCGCCTCTGGGGCCTTCCGTGGGGCTCCCTATGGGGTCACGAAACGCGTGAGCGGTGTGCCGAAATGGTTGACACGCGGAGGGTAGAGGCAGGGCTGGGAGAGGGGAGGGGGATGAGGAAGGAGTGCGTGAAGCAAGCGGGGCGCTGTCCTTCACAACGAGGATCCGCCACCACAGGAAAGCTTGGGAAAACAATGCAACGATCTACGCTGTAATCCAAATATCTGCGTATTATGTTCCTTGCACTTCTCGCTGGGGGATTCCGTCTGTGAGCCTCTGGATGCGGGAACGAGTCCGCGTAGACAATGGCGGCAACAGCGACGACGACGACGACAACGACTTCAGTGAAGTCCTCCTTCTTCTCCTCCTCCTCCTCCTCCTCTGCGGCGGTTGGAGCAGCACCACACTGAGACGACGACGGCGACAACGGCGACGAGGGACGCGGCGGCAACGGCCCCCGCTCGTCGATCGTCGTCCTCTGCCGTCGTCGACGTCGCCTGTGTCGTCGTCGTCACCGCCGTCGTCGTCGCCGTTTCCGTCTTCCGTCGTCGTCCGCCGTCCGCCGTCCATCGTCCGTCGTCCGTCGTCCGTCGTCCGTCGTCGTCGCCGTCATCATCACCGCCGCCGTCGCCGTCGTCGTCGTCGTCGTCGTCGTCGTCTCCGTGGTCCGTCGTCCGTCTTCCGTCGTCGTCGTCGTCGTCGTCGTCGTCGTCGCCTCCCCTCCTTCTCCTACTCCTCCTACTCCCTCCTCCGACTCCTCCTCCCCCCTCCCCCTCCAGAGGTGGCAAAAAAAATCCGGGGAAACAAGCAACCCGCCGGAGGCGTCCCCACAATCAGGGCGCGAATCCTGGTCCTGACCCCTGGTGGCTAGGGGTGCTCCACTGCCACGCCTGACAGATCACAGTCAGCATTGGACCCACCAAAGAAAAAAGTCTGGGGGGCCAGAACCACCAAACCGCCTGAGACATCAACACAATCTTTTCTTTTTTTTTTGATCCGCGGGTCGAGAGCGCACCTCTTCCGATCGAAGCTAGCGGGCCGCGCACAGCTTTAATTGACAGAGGGGGGAAAGCAGAAGGAGGGGCCTCACGTCAAGGCCAAGAGGGGCCAAAGCCCCGGAATCAGGCGGTGCCGAAGACGACGTGCTTGCCAAGGAACGCCTTGTGCAGGCACCCGGCGGCGAAGTACCGGACGAAGCAAAATGCTGTGGTTGTGGTGCCTGCGACATTCGCACAATCTGGGCGCGAATCCTCCTCCTCCTCCTCCTCCTCCTCCTCCTCCTCCTCCTCCTCCTCCTCCTCCTCCTCCGCGGCGCGCGCTGGACCAGCAAAAAAAAGTCAGGGGGGCCCAAACCAGCAGACCGCCGGAGACATCCCCACCATCTGGGCGCGCAAATCCTGGAGTGTCCTCACCCCCTGGCGCCCCCCATCGGCGTGCCCAAATGCCAGGCCTGCTAGATCGCGCTGAGCAGTGGACCACCAGAAGAGTCAAATCTGGGGGGCCAGAACCAGCAAACCTCCAGAGACAGCACCACAATCTGGGCGCGAATCCTTGAGCACCCCTGGCGACCTCCCCCCCTTGGGGGGTCCAAATGCCGCGCCTCCTCTATCGCGGTGAGCATTGGACCACCCAAAAAAAAAAAGCCCGGGGGGGCGACTCCAGAAAAGCCGCCTGCCTGACACACCCCCACAATCTGGTCGCGAATCCTGGAATGCCCCCCCCCCCGCCCTGCCCCCCCGGGGCGCCCAAGTGCCGCGCCTGGTGTGCTACATCGCGGCGAGCATTGGACCGCGCAAAAAGCGAACTCAGGATATGTGTGCGAATGATTATGATTATGAGCGAGTCTGAATGAGGAAGCGTTGTGACAGCGCCTGGGTGAGGAAAAGTGAGTCTGAGTATGAGTGAATATGAGTGGGAGCGATTACGCATATGACTGAACCAGAATGTGATGTGAATGAGGGAAGAAGAGGAATGATGCGAGTATGAGTTGGGCGTGCGTGATCTGAGCATAAGAGGGTCACATAAGGATTAGAGCATGTGAGTTACATGAGTGAGCAAGAGTAGGAGGACGACGGGGATGATCAGAGTATGCGAGTGATCTGCTTGAGGAGTGGGGAGAGAAGGACGATTGGGGAGGTCCAGAGGCGTTTCAGTAACAGCAAGAACAAACAAGAACTCTATCGCAGGATAAGGGGAACAATAAGAATCGGGGGAGCAACACAATTAGTTCGGGTCACTTTGGCTGGCGCTTTGGGAACAGCGCCCCCCCGTTTAATATTCAAACGCTAGAGCTGAACTAAACGCACTTTGCGTGTTGGTTGCTTGGCGTCCCTCTGGTCGCTACACGGGTGAGAACTTCACAACCAGACACGGACACATAGATGACGTTGAGGACAAGGACCACGAGGGGGACCATGAAGACTCGGCCAAGACCAGTACCAGAATCGACCCCTGAAGTGCCAACAGCCCGTGTATGAATCACTCTGACTTGTGAAGGCGGCAAGCATTTCAATCGAGATTGCACGAATTGAGCCCGAGCCTTCTTGATGACCGTGACGATCAGTACGTTCAGCACCAACGCGACGACGCAGTTCATGAACTCACGCATGATAGGTGGCCATCCCCCACCCTTCTCCTTTCTCATTATCCTCTTGCTGCTGTTCCCGCCGCCGCTGCCGCCTGTCATCTTCGTGCTCCTCCTCATCTTCATCTTCACCTTCATCTTCATCATCATCATCATCATCATCAGCGTCAGCATCAGCATCATCATCATCAACATCATCATCATCATCAACATCATCATCATCATCAACATCATCATCATCATCATCATCACCACCACCACCATCACCATCACCATCATCATCATCATCATCATCATCATCATCATCATCATCATCATCATCATCATCATCATCATCATCATCATCATCATCATCATCATCTGGTTCCTCCTTATCATTCCCCTGACCTGCCCGTAATCTGCAAACTAATTGCGTCCGAGAGCCAGTGGCATGTGTGAGGGCTCCAGGGCCGGGAGGCTGGTCCTCAGATCTAGGGGAGAGCGAAAGGCAAGCGGAAATCGTCCCGGGCGAAGAGCCCAACGATATGCAGCTGTGAGTACACGCCGGTCGGAAGAAGCATGTAAAAACACGAAGTAGGGAGGCGGATAAAGTCGATTGGGTTCGGGCCCTCCCAGAGAATGACACAACGCAGCAGAAGCATGTCGATTATTGAAATAGGAAGCCGCTGAAAGTAGATTGGGATCTGGGAATCTAGAAATACCTACTTTCAACGACCGGCGTGTACAGCAGCTGTGAGCATTGTCTTCGGTGGTTTTCCCCGTGGGGCCACGAAACGCGCGAGGGGCATACCGAAATTGGGGAGGTGACGGGGGCCGCATGCGGACCGTGCCATTGGGGCCTTCGGCGGAGCTCCCTATGGAGGTCGCGAAGCACGTCAGGGGCGTGCCGAAATGGGGGGAGCCGCACGCGAACTGTGCCACTGGGGGCTCCCTATGGGACTACAAAGCGCGCAAGTGGTGTGCCGAAAATGGGCGGGACGCCCTCATGCGAACGTCGCCTCAGGGAACTTCGGTGAAGTTCCCTATGGGGTCACGAAGCGCTGTACTGGGTGGCGCTCGCGCATGCGAACGTCGCCTCTGGGGCCTTCGGTGAGGCTCCCTATGGGGCCACGAGGCGCTGTGCGGGGTGGCGCGGACGCATTCGAACGTCGCCTCTGGGGCCTTCGGTGGCGCTCCCCCTGGGGCCACGAAGCGCTGTTACCCGCGCACGTGGGGTAGCCCGGGCTGGCCCAGCACAGTGTCGATGTGGCTATGGCGTGAACGCGCAACAGCGGCGCGCATGGCAGTACTCTGTTCAACGGCGCACGCGCAGCGCATTCCCACGAATTGACGGTGCTTTGCGGACAGCCTTGAGCATTTCAGCTTACGGATGAATGCCTCACTCCTGTTGTCATGCCTGGCGGTGGTGGGGCTGAGGGTCGGCTTGCGAGCTCGATGGCCACGTCACCGTTCCGTTCGGCGTAGTCGTTGGCCTTCGGGGTACTTGAGTCCAAGTTTGGCGTAGTTTGGTTCGTTGCGGTCCACTGGTGGCTCCCGTGGTTTCGCGGGGTGGTCGGAGGTGGCTTGGATGGTACCTCCTGCCATGGCTGTGGTGCTCGGCTGCTTGCCCTCGCTGCCGCACGCACCGCCTGCTTCGGTCGATTGCATGATGGGCGCAGGCGTTAGTATGGCTGGTGGAGCCTTGTAGGGCAGCTGGGGGTTCGCTGCATGCGTCTGTGTCTCTGGTGCCGTTGGTGTTACCGCCGTTGGTGGTTCGCGGTCTTGGGGACGAACACGCACATCGTCCCTGATGCCTGTTCCCTCATGGCTGGAGGATGCCGTGCCCTCCGTGGTCTGGGTGGCCGAAAAGTCGGGTAGTAGTGTAGTCACCGTCGGAATGTGTTGTCTGTTCCTTGAGGCAACGGCATGCGTGCGGTCCATGGTTGTGAAATGCGGCTTTGCTGTATGGGTCTCTGCAATGATCATGACTATCCCCTGCCGGGCGACGGGGTTGTCTTGGCTGGAGAGGAGTAGTTGCGTGAGGCGGCCGCTGTCGGTTTCGGAGCGCTTCAGGTCAGTCGCATCGTTGTCGCTCATGTAGTCAACTGTCGCCTTGAGTCGGTCTACGATGGTCCTGAAATCGTTTTCGCCGCGGTACTTCGTGATGGCGGAGCCGAAGGAGGTGGTGTCGTCTGTGAAAGACCGAACCTGCGGTGAGGGCGACCGTTGCCTCGGGGGCGTCGGAGGCGTGGGAGGCGGTGGTGGCTGCGTCCTGCTGGGCGTGGCCATCGGCGGGTACTGGATGATGTTGTGGTTCGTGTCGTAGAAACATCCAACACTGTCGGCTGATCGAAGTCTCTTTCAGCCTCGTTGCATGAGCACGTTGCCTGGGTCTGTCCACGCGTTTTCTCTGGTGTCCAGGTTGAAGTAGTATACCTGGTGGTTCCAAATAGAGTTGGTGCCATCGCACCTGTAGGCGATCCATGACTTTGGTCATGGTAGATGATGGTTGGGTGCTAATAGTAGTCCTGCAGTACATCCAGAGCGTTGGAATGCGTCAGCGGACGTATAGTACGTGCGTTCCAGGGCGGGCAGTCCGGTCGGAAGAAAGGCGGTGGTGGATTGCTCAGTGGTAGGGGCTAGGCTTGGTCGGGCGCTTGGTTGAGTCGGCAATCACGGCCCATCCGACTCAGATGGGCCGTGATTGCCCTGTTGGTTGTGTTTGGGATCGCTGGGGTAGCCTGCTCACGTCTTGGCCGCTCAGGTCTTACAATCGGATCCTTGTTGTGAAATTGAATGATGGTGTTTGTGGGGATCTGCGTTGCGCACCTGTTGAGCTGGATCTCCGCCTGGTGGTCGTCTTCCTGCTTGTCGTAGTGAGATGTCCTCAGTCTGTCCAACATTGCGAAAGCTTTCTTGGCGGATGTCGGGAGTGGTGTGCGCCATCAATGTGTGGATGTCGGCGACCAAGGTCCCCATTCAGCTGTAGACCAGGATGCCAAGCTGGTTCTGCCCATCGGTCTGGCTGGCGGCGAGGCGGTCTCGTAATCCTGGTCGCCTCCAGTTGTGGCAGCCGCTTGGTTGGGACGTGATGGCTCGCGATCCCCTCGTCGTGGTGACGTCTGGTAGCGCGTGCCATGGTAATGCCGTTTTCAAAATCTCCTCCTCCTCCTCCTCCTCCTCCTCCTCCTCCTCCTCCTCCCTGCTTACTCCGCTGTTTCCCTGTGCTGGAACTCAGGCCTGAGGATCGCGTCCGAGACGAAGACGGCTGCCCCCCGGAAAGCCCCGGGAGAAACGCAGCAGACGGAGATGCCCCCAGCTTCGCCATCCTGCTCCCCCGGATCCTCCCTCTGATCCTCCCCCCAGGATCCTCCCCCCTGCTCCTCCCCAGGATCCTCCCTCCCCCCTCCCCCTCCCCCCCCCCCTCTCCTCTCCTCCCTCCTCCTCCCTTGCCCCCCCCCTCTGCCCTCCGCCCCTCCCCGATAGGGTGCCCCGCTGGTCCCGACGCGGCCTCCCCGAGCGGGCCCCGCCCGCCCCCTGCCGAGCCAGCAGCGCGGCCCGGCGACCGAGCCCGCGGCCAGCATGGGGGGAGACTTCAGCCTGCCCCAGTCCACCGGCTTCTCCACCTTGGCTTCCAGAGGGGGAGGGAGGAGGAGGAGGAGGAGGAGGAGGAGGAGGAGGAGGCGGAGGAGGAGGGAGGAGGAGGAGGCAGACCTGACCACTGCTGGCTTCCAAAGAAGGACGGTGGTCCTGGAAAGCCTTCGCGGGAAGCCTGGAAGCCCTGACCAGACCCCCTCGGGCAATGAAAACATCAGAACGGGAGGCTGTTTCTCGCATTCTCGGCCTCTGGAGGCCCTCACCGGCCCCAAGGACCGTCCAGAAACGACTCCGGATGAAAAACTGGTCCCGGGGAATGGGCCGAGACCTCTGAGGGTCGGTGTTGTGAACAAAATCATGACGTCGGGGGTCTGGGTTGGTGAAAGATTTGGTGTTGTTGTTGTTGTTGTTGTTGTTGTTGTTGTTGTTGTTGTTGTTGTTGTTGTCTGTCCCCCCCCCCCGGGTAACGGCCGTAACACGGGGGAGGGGTTGGGGGTTCGGGCGGGGGGGTAACGCTAACGGCGGCCGCGGCGTGCACCCACCAGGGTGCGTCCGCGCCACAGGCGCATCAATCGTCTGTGCGCACCACAGCATGTAAGGGGCGTGTCCACTTGAAAACAGGGCTGATCCCGGCCAACTGGTACCTCTCCCGGCTCGGTGGGTCCACCCCCGGCCCGGCCGTCTCGAACAATTCTGGCCAGGCAAAAATCAAGGTTTTTTGTTCTAGAAGATACCTTTGCGGGCTCTCTTAGAAGCCTTTGGGGCCCTCTTACGAGCTTCGTAGAAGCTTCTGAATGGCTTCTGCGAGGCCTCTGAGAGGCTTCTGAACAAAACACTTGTGAGAGGCTTCTGAGAGGCTTCTGCGATGCGTCTGAGAAGCTTACGAGAGGCTTCTGAGAAGCTTCTGAAACAAAGTTCCTGCGAGCATCTGCGATACTCCTGAGAGGCTTCTGAGAGGCTTCTGAACGGCTGCTGAAAGGCTTATGAGAAGTTTCAGCGAGGCTTCTGAGAAGCTTCTGAAAACAAGGCTTCTGCGAGGATTGTGAGAGGCTTCTGAAAGGCTTCTCAGAGGCCTCTGAAAAGGCTTCTGCGAGGCTTTTGAAACAAAGGCTCCTGAGAAGATTCTGACAGGCTTCTGCAAGGTTCTGCGAGGCTTCTGAGAGGCGTCTGAGAGGCTTCTGAAAAGCTTATGAAAGGATTCTGAAAGGCTTATGAGAGGCTTCTGACAGGCCTCTGAAAGGCTTTTGAGAGGCTTGTGAGAGGCTTGTGAAAAAGGCTTCTGAAAAGGCTTCTGAAAAAAGGCTTCTGAAAAGGCTTATAAGGGGCTTCTGAGAGGATTATGAAAGGCTTCTGACAGGCTTCCGAGAGGTGTCTTCGAGGTTTCTGCGAGGCTTCTGAGAGACTTCTGAAAGGCTTCTGAAAGGTTTCCGAGATGCTTCTGGGAGGCTTCGTAGAGACTTCTGAGAGGCTTCCGAAAGGCTTCTGAGCAGCTTCTGGGGTGCGGCGCGGAAATCCGCAGGAGGTTTGTTAGGTTTTCCGCCTCTGGAAGTCGCCCCTGCCTTTTGGCCCCAGGACCGTCGAACATCGACTCAGGACGAAAAGCCCCCCTTGGGAAGTTGTCGGGGGATTCTCGCGTTGCCCCCCGTTGTCGTCGCCGCCGTCGTCGTCGCCGCAGCCGCCGCCGCCGCCGCCCCGCCAGCAAAGAGCAGGAGCACGGTCGATAAAGATTAACATGTCTGCGCGTCGCTTGGTGAGGGAGCGATCAATGACTGACAGACGCCATGCACAACATAGGTGCGTTGGCAGAAGTTGTGAGACATACTAGACAATTGGGTGAAACGGCAAGCGTGCTAAGCATAGGAGGAGGAGGAGGAGGAGGAGGAGGAGGAGGAGGAGGAGGAGGAGGAGGAGGAGGAGGAGGAGGGGGAGGAGGAGGAGGAGGAGGAGGAGGAGGAGGAGGAGGAGGAGGAGGAGGAGGAGGAGGAGGGAGGAGGAGGAGGAGGAGGAAGGGGGCTGAACAGTGATCCATGAAGGGGGGGAGAACTGTGCACTTGTCGGGCCCTGAAGAGGCCCCCTGCCGGGCCCTAACGGGCCCTTCCAGGGGCCCCAGACGGCCCCTTCTCGGCGGCCCACGCTGCGCCCCCTACGTATCCCCCCCCCCATTGCGCGACGCCCAGCATGTGCTTCCCCCGAAGGTGCTGGCTTCCCCGCGCCGCCTTCCGCCTCCCTCCGCCGCGGAAGAGATGGCAGCTCCTTCGAACCTCGAAGCCAGGGCCCTTCTCAGAACGACCCCGGTGGTCCCTCCGAAGGTGCCAGAAGCTGTGCACCACCTCGGCTGGGGCCAGGCCCAGCCTGGGCACCCGCGTCGTGCTTTCCCTCCGATGGCCAGGGCCAGGGCACGGTCCAGGGGAGCTTCTCCTCCGCCTCCTCCTCCTCCTCCTCCTCCTCCTCCTCCTCCTCCTCCTCCTCCTCCTCATCACTCGCTCCGCGTCCTCCTCCTCCTCTTCCTCCACATCCCTCGCTCCTCGTGCTCGTCCTCTTCCTCCTCCTCCTCCTCTTCCTCCTCGTCCTCCTATTCCTCCTCCTTTGTCTCCCAACGAGGCAGTTACCTCAGTGGACATGAACCCTTGTAGGGGCCTGTGAAGAGGGACCTTTGAGGGAGGTTCTATTCCAACATCGTTGATGAGTCCTGGGTTTACACTGGTCCTCCATCTCCTCCTTCTCCTCATCCCCCCCTGCCTTCCCCTCCTTCCTTCCCCCCCCCCTCGGAATCAACTCCTGGACCACCTGGAGCCCACTCTGGGCGGGGCTTCGAAGAGAATCGCGGCGACGAGAGCGCCCCAAGGTGCCCCAGAACAGGACGGCGAAAAGCGTGCAAATCCTTCCTCCCTCTTCGTTCCCTCCCTCCGTCCGTCACTTCTCCTCTCCCCGCCTCCCGTCCCCTCTCCCTCCTCCTTCTCGTCGTCGTCGTCCTACTCCGACGGCGGCGACGTGGAAGCCCGTCTGGACTGAGGCCCGCACAAAGACCGCCACCAGGCACAGCGAGAGGCCGGCCACGGGAGCGAATCTGTACACCGTGGTGACGGGGTCTAGTTTCAGGTCCTTGGTCATCACCTGCAGAAAGCGATCCGGAGGAAGGGGAGGATGAAGGGGGGGGATCTTGGATCGAGGATCTTCCGTTGAGTTGGGCTGGGCGATCAGGTCTGCAGAAGACCCCAACTGGACGTCAAGGGGCGCAACCAACCTGTTCGGTCAAACTGAAGCTGATGCACTACACCCAGCGTCAAACCAACACTTTTGACATAAACGAATGGTTGAATGTTGCACATCTTCGTCGGCTTCACCGGCGAGGCGCTCGACCACCTTGACGTCTTGTTTTCGGTGCTCGTGCAGAGGAAGGCGCTCTCTGACCCTCGGCCCTACTCAGATTTTCAAACTCTGGGCGCTTCTGGGCTCCTCTGGGGCCTCCCTGGGGCGCACTCAATCGCCACGATAAAACAGGGCTAGGATCGGGATAAATCGCTCCAGAGCGTTCCGGAGCGCTCTCAGAGCGTTCCGGAACGCTCTGGAGCGGCCGCGGCGCCCAATACATCCTCCAAACCCGCCGATTCTCAGAGATTTCGAGTTATCCCGATCCGATTTTGTCCCGATCTTCGCGTCGTCTTATGGGCTCCTCTCGGGCCTCCCTGGGGCGCCCTCCGTCGCCACGGCCAAAGCCGCATCGGAGCCCCAGCCCTCGGTCGTCGCTTCCGCAGGCGGGCCGCGACCAGCGTCAGGGCGGCTGCTTTGCCCCAGCCCTCCCGTGTTCGGCTCTCGTGTGGAGCGTAGGGCAATGTTGCTCCTCATCCCTACAGTCGGGGCGTTGACCTAAGGAACCCTAAATAAGGAACGAGGCCCCTTTTTCCCATAACCCATCGAAACCCTAAGCAAAACCAAAGGCGAACTGCAAAACAACCAAGGAACACCGAGCCCCTCCCCAACGAAAAGGGTTCCTTCCTCAGCGCCCCGACTGTGTCCTTCCCGTCTCCGCGTCTCCTGGGTCGCAGAAGGACATACTGATACGGTGTGTCCACCCCCCCACCCACCTTTGGACGCGTGCCTCCGACCCGAGCATACAGTGTACAAGCATCCTGTCGTAGATCGTTGCCCGAGCGGCGTGGCCTGAAAGCGCCCGCCACAGAAGGTAGACGACAAGACTTTGTCGGCGCGCGCGTCGCTCCTGGGGGGCGGCGCACATACACACAGTATGAGTATGCTGGGGTGACGCCGATGTCCTCCTTTGGCCTCATCAGGCCTAAACCTGTCTGTCCCGCCTCCTCTTCTTCCTCACCCTCCCGTGTAGGGCACTCGTCTGAACAGAGCACTGGTGCTCCATTTTCGTCACTGTCCGCTCCAATCCTTCCTCTTCCTCTTCCTCCTCTTTGCTCTCGGTCCTCCCTATAGAGCACTGCTGCTCACTCCTCCTTCTTCTCGTACCTCTTCAAGCGGGAAGCCCTTTCCACACCAGGAATGTACCTCACTGATTCGCCCCCTTCTGGCCCAGGCAAAAAATGGTAAAATTTGTGCGCCGCTGGTGTAATAGAATCAAGCGGACGGGAAGGAGAAACGTGTATCTATACACATTCGTTGCTGCCGATTGCTCCTGGTCAGCGAACTGCTGGTGTTGGCGCTCTCCTGTGTTGCGTTGCTGGGCTCTTGGGACAAAGCCGTCGACCCTTCATCGTCCAGCCAGGCCCTGGGTGTGGCTCGGGCGGCCACATTTGGAGTCCCGAAACGGTGCGGTGACAGACCGTGCGGTGACCTCGGAACCCCAAGAGACCTCACCGCACGGTCCGTCACCGCACGGTCTTGGGACCCTGGAGGCCCTTGTCGCCCGATACATCCTCGGAGAGGGACTCGAGTCCCAAAGCCGTGCGGTGACCCCGAATCCCCACCGACTCACCGCACGGTGTGGTCACCACACCGTTTGGGGGCCCCCGACCAAAGCCCCGGGCTCTCCCCAGATCCCCCCCATCCCCCGCCC